TCTACAGAGCAGTTCAAAATTTCTACGATCAACGACACAAAGAGTGAATTCATGAAAATTCTCAAAGGATTTCCTGGGATCACTGGTATTTTGCAAAACCATGCACCCGTCAAACGACAGGTGGAACATTTCATTCCAACTTACGGTGCCCCGGTGTTTCAACGGGCACGCATACTCAATCCAGAGAAGTATAAGGCCGCAAAAGCCGAATTCGAGTACTTGATGAAATTGGGATGGATTCGTCCTTCGAACAGCCCATGGGCTAACCCTATTCATTTAGTCAAAAAGAAGACCGGCGACTGGCGAGTATGCGGTGACTACAGACGCGTAAACTCTGTCACTGTGCCCGACAGATACTCAATCCCCCATTCTCAAGATTTTACCAACGGTCTCCATGGGAAAACCATATTTTCCACAATGGACCTCGTTCCAGCTTATCAGCAGATTCCGGTGGCGGAAGCTGATATTCCGAAAACTGCGCTCATCACGCCCTTCGGTCTTTTCGAATGTCTAGTCATGCAATTTGGTCTTCGAGGGGCGGCGTAGACATTTCAGCGGTACATCGATGATATCTTTCGTGGTCAACCCTTTGTTAAAACGTACATCGATGAATTGCTCATAGCATCTTCTTCAACTGAGGAACACCAACAACATTTGAAAATAGTTTTTCAACTTTTACAGGATCACGGCTTGAGAATTAATATCGACAAATGCGTTTTTGGAGCCTCAAAGGTAAAGTTTTTGGGCTACAAGTTATCTAGTAAGGGTATTTTACCACTACGCGAGAAGGTCCAAGCTGTAGAAAACTTTCCCAAACCTTCAACAGTGGTAGAAGTAAGACGATTTTTAGGAATGATAAATTTTTACCATCGTAATCTGCCAAACGCAGCTATCGTGCAAACCCCTCTTAACAAATACTTAGCCGGTTCTAAGCAAAATGACAAAACATCTATCGTTTGGACTTCCGAGGCAGAAGCCGCTTTTTTGACGTGCAAGGCCGACTTGTCGCATGCTACACTACTGGTTCATCCAGCCGCAGACGCGCAACTTCGTTTGGTCACTGACGCATCTGACATGGCTATGGGTGCGGGGGTCGAACAACGAAACAACAACTCTTCATGGGAGCCTCTTGCATTTTTCTCTAAAAAATTTTCTCCGGCTCAAATAAAGTACAGCACGTACGATCGTGAGCTTATTGCAGTATACGAGAGCATCAAGTATTTTCGACATTACCTTGAGGGATGTGATTTTGCAATCTTCACCGATCAAAAACCCTTGGTATATGCATTTAAGCAGCGCACTGATAAAGCGTCGCCTCGACAACAACGTCAACTGGAATACATTTCGCAGCTTTCAACCAATATCTTCCATGTTGACGGCACTGATAACGTTGTATCGGACGCTCTTTCGCGTGTGGACGCATTCCACATGCCAGCTAGTTTCGATATTACTGATCTGGCCCAGCAGCAACAGCCCGTTAAGGAATTAGAAGAACTTTTAAAGTCAAAGTCAACTTCCTGCAAATTCACCAAGATGTATTGGGGTGCTTCAAAGACTCCGATAGTCCTCGAAACATCGACTGACAATGGTCGCCCTTATCTGCCTGCCACTTTACGACAACAAATTTTCAACAGTTTTCATCGTTTATCGCACCCAAGCGGTAAAGCTACTTTGCGCATAATTCAACAACGTTTCTTCTGGCCAAATATGAAACGTGATATTGTCAATCAAAATCAATCAAAGCAATCAAAAACCAGTCGCCACGTCCAGAAGATTCCTAATGTGATCCAAGCTCCTGATGGTCGTTTCGATCATGTTCACATCGACATGATTGGACCCCTACCACTGAGTAATGGATACAGGTACTACTGTGTAACATGCATTGATCGGTTTTCTAGGTGGGCCGAAGCTTTTCCAACAAAGGACCAAACTGCAGACACTGTGGCTAAGGCATTCTACGCCGGATGGATATGCAGATTTGGTTCACCAAAGATCATTACTACGGACCAAGGTTCACAATTTGAATCAGCCTTGTTCAGTGCACTACAAAAATTTTTGGGTACTCAACGTGTACGCACCACATCTTACCATCCTGCTTCGAATGGACTCATCGAGCGTTGGCATCGTTCCCTAAAATCAGCAATCATGTGTCACGGCTCTAGATTCAACTGGGTGGAAACGCTTCCAACAGTGCTTCTAGGCCTTCGTACCTGCATACGCGAAGGGTTAAACGCATCTCCCGCTGAATATCTGTATGGCACCACTCTGCGAGTGCCAGGTGAGTTTTTCAATGACAATGATTTCGTATCAAATTCGCAGACCTTCTTAGAAAAGTTTAGAGAGCACATGCGCGAGCTAAAACCAGTTCCTACAGCGCACAACTACAAACGCAAACCATTTTGCTATAAAGACTTGGCAACCTGCACACACGTTTTTATCCGCAAAGACAATGCCCAATCTCTCGAAAGGCCGTACGAAGGACCATTCAAGGTCATATCGCGACTTACTGATCGAGTTTTCCAAATCCAGCACAAGGGCTCAACTACAAATGTTTCAATAGAGAGACTCAAACCAGCGCATCTGGAGAGGATCTGGCTAAATGATGATTTATCTAACCCTGGGGTCCAGACGCAAATGAGCACGTCGTCTAACAAGATGAACATGTACTCTCAACCGGAATCGTCTTCAACAGAAAACATAATCGACTACAACGAACTCCCCGCAACTTCAACACAGCAATACACTCCTGTAACTCAATCGAATTCACGACCAATTTTCAATACAGTACTTAAGGACCATAGTTATGCAAAACCGCCGTCGGAAAAACAGTCGCAGGATCGCAATTCTCCTCCTGCAAATTTTCAACCATTGAAAACATATTCAAAAAAATCTGTAAAATTCAAAAACTAGATTCATATAAGTTGCATAAACATTTACATTTTTATTTTTAACTGACATGTAAACCCATTTAAAAAATTCAAAGTTTAGGAGGGTGTACTGTAGGGAATATTCATTCTCTTTGTTCATATTCGTATGTTAATTTCACTTTTGTATATATATATTTATCTCTTGCACACGATTTTGAAGATCTGTCATGTTGCATGAACTGAAAAGGAAGTTAAGGTCTTCTGGTTGCAACGAAAGAAGTCAACGTTTAGCGCTCTAGCTTAATTGATAAAATATAAGAAAGTATTTATTTCAATACGTGTTTTATTAATAGGAACAGAGAAATATTCCTATACTTGATTTGTTGCAGAAGTCAAACCGCCGCCTTTGGTTTGTTGCTGAAGGCGCGATTGACGTGTTGCCGAAGTGATGATACTGTAGTTTAAAAACATTCAACGACACTTGCTTGTTTGAAATGAAGCATTGATATGTACATACCAGGGTTGTTGCGAATATTCGCATTCGCATTCGCAACCGCGGAGCTTCCGCAATATTTTTAACATTCGCATTCGCTTTCGCATTCGCAAAAATCAATGCGGATCTTTTGCGAATGCGAATATTGAAGGGACCGGAGATTGCAGTTATTTTTTTACGAGTTAAACTTGGCCAAATATTTTTTATTCCGAAATAAAAGTACTTTCCGGATAATAAACAAATCGCTTATCCAAATTAAAGAAGTTTGGTATCTAATGAAAGAGGACTTAAATAGCTTTAAAACTGAAATGTCTAAAAGAGGAAAGCCACACATTGAAAAATATTTCAATAAAAAATGTTTATTAATTACCAGGGAACGGATTTTTAGGACCTAAAAACATATAAAAAGGCAAAATAAAATAACGAAATATGCTGGAAAATAAAATAGCGAAAAAGGCAGAAAAAGGCACTAGGTATTGCAAAAATGGCAAAAAAAGGCAAAACAAAATAGCGAAAAAGGCAGGAAAAGGCACTAGGTATTGCAAAAAAAGCAAAATAAGGCACTAAAAAAGACAGAAAATACGAAGAACAATCAAAAAAATACATTTATTTTAGAAATGTTTATATTACAAGTAAAAAGAGAAAAACTATGAACTAGTTTCATTATATGAAAAATTTGTACTTTGAATCTTTGACTATTTTATCCTTTCGAGTTTCTAACTCATAAAACTTTAATCTGTATAGTTGTAGTAACATTGAACCACAAGATGCATTTTGAAGTTTTCTGGCAGCATTTTCATTCGATTTTCGCGAAGAAAAGCCTTGAATGTACTAACCCCCTAATTCTGTGCACTTGATAAATTCAACATCTTGCTTAATTATCAAGATTAACAATTTATCAAGATTTTCTTATTCTATGTCATAAATAAAAAGCTCTTTTCTTGATAAATTGTCAAGATGTCAAATGCTCTTGACAAATAAAACATCTGTTTTATTCTTTGTGCATAGTTGTGAAAACTAATTTGTTATAATGGAAGAAGATATTTTACTTTTATTGTTGTTTTTAGACGAAGAGGAAAATTGCGAAAATAGAGATCGCGCGCGTTACTTAAGAAGTTTACAAGATGATAGTGATCCATTTTCGTTGAGTGATAAAACGTTTATGGAAAATTTTCGTTTGACACGTGAAATTTGCCGTCGTCTCATTGATGAACTGGCCCCACATGATAGCCAAAAAACGTCACTTTCCTTAACTATAAGAGTTTTGTCAGCTTTAAACTTCTTTGGGCACGGCTCATACCAAAAATGTGTAGGCAACAACTTCAACTTGCCAATGAGTCAGTTGTCTTTTTCCAGAAGTTTGCGGGCTGTGGCAAAGCTTATTGTAAAGGTGAAGGAAGGAGAAATAAATTTTCCCAGTTCGGCTGAGGAAGAAACTTTTGTAAAAACAGGGTATGTATTAAAGAAAATTGAAAAAGCACGATTTAAGTTAAGCTATATGAATTTTATTCTTGATTTTTTAGAAAATTTGGCATAAAAAGCACAATAGGAGCAATTGACTGCACGCATATTGCTATTGTTGCTCCACCATCAAATAATGTTGACCGTCCTCTTAATTTATATTTAAATAGGAAAGGGTTCTACAGTATAAATGTCGAAGCAGTAAGTTTAGTTGTATGCATGNTAAGAACATTCACAAGTTCTGCGACAGTATTGGTTAGACCTTGGATGGTCTGCGTCATCTCCCGGTGCTCTTCACGCCTTTCATTTTCAATGCGTTGCTTTTCGTCCTCAGCAGCATTCCTCTTTGAAATGTTTGCTATCAAAGTGCTAATTAATTTAGACCGCTCACCCCGTGATAGCCGCGATGTGCGAGCATCCTTAATAAGAATAAAAAGTAATTAAAAAATGCACAAAAATATATGTACATACATAAATATGTTGTAATACAATAAAAAAAGGTATATGATTTTCCAAGCTTAGCGATGAACATGGAGATGATGCGGGATTTGCTGATATTTCTGTGCTAAGCCGTTGTCCTGGGCTTGGCGGTTGTCCTGGGCTTGACGGTTCTACTAGCTTTAGCGGTATTAGTAATGGACTGCATGGTGGCTGAGGACTGTCCAAAGAAGATGTGCTTTCAGGTGATATTGGGCCCTCAACTGACAAAGGCTCAAGCGAATATGTCAACCCAAAGCTCTGAATGGTCTTCACCCCATCAACAGCTGCAGATCCAAATGTGGCTAAAGCCTTTTCCTCAAAGTCGCTCATCGGCTTGCAGCTTGGTCCTCCTCCAGTCAGCCTCTGGCTCATTTTCAGCCGCCTTGCCCGCGTGCGTAGTTGACTCTTCCACACACCCAACGTCTATATACATATGTATAAAAGCGTTGCATCAAATATAAAAAAATGTAACTAATATGAGGAAAGTTACCTCTTTCCATTTAGCCGCAGTACGTGTTGGTCCTCTGCTAGAATTCAACTCCTCTGCCAGTTGCTTCCACAAGTCTTGCATTTGCGGAGGCGACTTTGGCCAATTTTTTCCAGTGCCAATTTCTGGGTGTGCCTGGCAAAACGCAACGTATAGCTCAAGTTGCTCGTGAGTAGCACGGTCGTGTTTTGATTCCCTGTAAATTAATTTTAATATTAAGTTAAATATTATTTTACAACAAATAATGAACAATATGTGAAATAGTTACGTTGTAGCAGAATCCATTTCGTGAATAACATAAAGTAAACAGAAATCAGCTGTTTCTGTTTCATTAAATTGTTCACCACACGTGTGGGGAAAAGCGCTGCACTCTGAAGCTTTAAGTTTTATCAAGATTGCCAAAGAATAACAAAAAACTTCTTGCTTGATAAAAATCTTGATAAATTATCAATATTTTGATAATTTGTCAAGTGCACAGAATCGGGCTGTAAATGTGTGCTCGACGTAAGTTGATACAAGTGGGGCCCAATTTAAATATGGAACGTTTGAAACGTTCATATTATCAGGAATAAGGGCGTTTTCCTCGCCCTTTA